AATAAAGGAAAACTAATGATCACTATGCAACTAAAATAGCTCTTGATTATCAAACAAATTCTCCTTGTCAGCACCTTTGGAAATGTATAGGAAACAGTTTGGAGAATATGCATACAGATATCAGGATGTAAAGGGTTATTACTAACTTGTGAATTTTACGTTTTGTAATCAGGAGCCACCTAGACCTGAATCATTAGGAGCAGAGGCCACTCCAGAAGCATTTTATGATGAATTTCCAGATAACAAACCTCCGTAAGTATATGTTCAATGTACAGGTTCACTCAGTTTTATGTCCCAGATATATTTTATACATTTTCACAACCAATACTCTTGATCACACACTATAGCCTTAATTGCCAACTTCATTATCCTAATGATCGATTTAAAAAGCTCACCAATTTTTTTGGGCATTCTCTCATCTAGATGAGCTATGACCTAAAAAATACTTCAGGAGTGTGATCATAATTTCATGGGCCTGTCATGCTTGCTGACACTCCTAAACAATCATCCTTTTGATTCTAAGAATGGCATTGCTTATGCCAGCTGTTTTGACAAATTTTAAGTAATTTGGTGACTTTTTAAATTACTTCCACAGCTGGTTTTTTGGTAAGCTCACAAGAGAAAATGCTGAAGCAGTCCTCCAACCTCATCCTGAAGGGAGCTTTTTAGTGCGAGAAAGTGAAACAGTTCGTAAGCTTGGTGCATACACCCTCTCATTGAAGTGAGTTGCTTTTGTGTCAGCTTTGAGTCATTTAAATTGTTTGAAACACTGAAGAAAGCACTGCCAGAAAATCTCAACATTTTTAAGCTTTTCAGAATTTATTGTCACTGCAGTTGTTTGACCTTTATGAACCCAGTTTATAAGTTTTGCCTATAAATGTAGCTGTTGCTTTAGAAACTAATAAGTTTTCTCTAGAATAAGTAAATGTTACTGCATCGTCTGTTGCCATAAAACTTAAAAATCAATGCTTTTTTCCTATCCATGGAAAATCAGCAGATATGTAAGCATATAGTGTCATCACACAACTGAAAAAATTCATTCTTGCTAATTTTTTTATAGACACAGAGATAAATTCCGACACCACAAAATTGAAACAGTAGCTGATGGAAACCTTGTTATTAAAGGACATGAGGTGAGTTTAGAGAAGTCTCATTAGAATTTAAGTCCAATTTTATTACAAGCATATTGAAGAGATCCTTCATGAAGCAGAGGGCTTATGTGTGCAACATCAGCAGCCTACTCCTATTGTCACTGGGAACAGCCCATGGTGAGCATCTTACAGCAACCCCTCAGTTCCTGTCGGAAAGGGAAAGAAGGAGTCCATCCATCACAGCAGTAGAGATGGAGGAAAGGCTTAAGTCTTGAGTCTTGATTTCCATACATTGAGGACAGAATTTTTGGAGGAAATGATTTAATTCTGGAATGCAAAGCAATAACAAATGGCTTGTGCTTGATTATTATGTGGCTCCCCTCATAATACAAAGCCAAGTAATCATATCTTCCAGACGCTCATACCTCAGACCATTGTGCCAATCAAAGCCAACTTCCAAGGAAAGACTCCTTGTTATCAACTCCATCAATTCGGATTAAACTGCACTTTTTCATACTTGCAGTATATAGCTTGTGTGACTTGTTTTAAGTTCTTTAAATTATCATTACACAACTGATCATTTTTGAGTTTCTTTTCATTAAATCTTTTTGTAGGATAAACCTTTCCCTAATCTTGCAACTCTTATGAAGTACTTTACAAAAAGTCAGGAACAAGATATCATCATGAAACCAGTGATTTGTGGTAATTACAGTCCTGTAATACTATATACAGCCTTGTAATTAAAAGTATGTACTAAGCTGTTTCACTTACTCCAGGGGTGCTCTATGCATAAATATGCTGAATGAAATATAAATGTAGATGTAAAGATAGAAAGTTGTAACTGGAGTTTCACATGCCAATGATTGTGTAGTAAATAAAACTTGAGTTTTGTGTAAGGCAACTCTCTCTCTTAATATTAATGTTTACTGATGAGTAAACAAATTTTCATGGAAACAAGGAATAATGATAGACTTAGAAGAAACTGTGTAGCTGCTGAGCACAACCCCTCAAAAGTTTTCAGAATATTAAAGAAGAGTGGCAAAATGACATAATTATCTTAATGTATGCCTGGTATGTCATTTTTTTATTTAAGATGGATCATTTAATAATTAGATTTGTATAATTTAATTTTTGTTCTGTAAATAGGCAATAGTCCATTTTACAGTTGTGTGCTTAGTTGCCAAGCCTTTGAACAGGAATGAGGCTAAAGGTGACCTTGTCATGATACAAACCTTGCTGCTTTTCAAATGCAAATTACTTTGTTATCATGCTAACAAGATACTGGTCTCTATCACAACAAGGTCACCTTCAGCCTCACTCTAAATCAAAGGCTTGGCAACTAAGTACACAACTGTAAAATGGCCTATTCAGTTTTTGAACTGCTATGTAGTTATGAATTAATAAACTTCAAACTTCAAAGAAGCAAATGGAAGTGACACCAATAACTAAAGAAGATCAGAATTATCTATGTGATTGGTAAAATTGTAACTAACCGTGTAACCATGTATTAATAATGATTGACACTGGATATATTTTTTAACTTCTAGGTACAAGTAATGATGATGAACAAAATGCCATGAAAGGTTATGAACTAATGGGTGGTGAGTACACTACCTTTAAAATTTAGTTTTCAAATTGAAATGTATGAAAAAAAAATTGCATCTTGCTGATTATTGTTCCTCGTTAAAAACAAGTCTAATTATTTGAGGGCTGATTAGTGCTAACCCGAGGTTGAATTTTAATCCAGGTTGCTATATTTCTCTGTTCAAAAGTTGTTTTGGGATAATTTTCTTTATTGTAATGTTCTTAGAGCATCTAATTATCAAATTGTAGACAAAAAGAATGAAACTGAATTTCTTTTAAAGCTTTCAGATCTGAAATGAAATTTTGCAGTAACCCTAGGTTATCTTAACCCAGCTTTGAGCAATCCAGCCCAGCTGGTGGCCCCTTTTTGAGTTTGGTTGTGACAGAAGCATTGTTTGAGAGTGACTGTTACTTCATTTTTCTCAGTTCAACCTTCACTCCTAAGATCTCAAGGTTAATTCTCCACACTGTTTGTCACTCATTACTTATATTCTTAGAACTGAGAATTTGCTGGTTGATCAAGCAATATCCCCAAGTTGATAATTTTTTCACTTCTCATCGATGTTTGATGTTATTTTTCCAAACCTAACATGATCACAAATCTTAAAGAAAAAGTATGGCATAAATGTGCAATTCAAATACTGCTATGCCACATGTAAACCTCTATCTCACTGATATCCTTACATTATCTAGCAAGCAAGAACCCTAAGCAAACTTATCAGGTAGAAGTTGTTATCTTGATCTAACACCAAATTCTGGAAACTAATCTGTAAGGAAATGTGTGGCTGCTAGAGAGGAGATTTAAGAATCACATATTGGGAGTTTAAGGGTTAATCAGTGCAATGCATGTGATTGAATTAGTTGTCTGTAAAAACCAGGGTATGAGGTGGGGGTGCACATTCACGGGGTGCACTTCTTTAAATAAAAAAAATTTACTTGTAGAAGATTTGCTTATTTGTAACTATAACTTTCCTGCACTGCACCTTTACTTACTAATGTTATCACTGTATCAGCTCGGCCTGCCCCACCAGGTTGTGAAGAGGGAGCGGACCTAAATGGGTCAGTGGAAACCAGTAAGTGCTACGTGTACATGTGCCAATTATTTTTGAAAGTTTTTGAAAAACATTAATATTTCGTTTCTTTAGAATGCATCTTATTTTCTTTTGTTATCCCTAGGAGGACCAGTGAAACATTCCTATGAAAACATACCAAGTAAGTAAGAATGAGTTTTTGAACAAATCTAGATGATTTTCAAAAATACAAGGATTGAATCCAGTCGTGCAACTCATTGAACTTACTGGTCAAGATGTAACTTATATTTGCAATTTCAGTTCATCTTTACCTAATGAGTTTTAATACCTCTTATTAAACTCGTTCTTGTCCCGTGGTGAAGGTTACGGATCGAGGTTTTTTCGCTCGGATTTGCCCATAAAACCGAGTGGAAAAAAACGAGGTTCCATAACTTATAGTACAAACCAAGAAGACGAGGTTAATAAGATATTAATTTATCTGTGGGTTTAAATAGAGGGAGAATATTTTTAGTTAAAACAAACTTTTTTATTTATTGAGCCGTATAGTGAAATACGGCCCACTAAATGGACCAATCATGGCATAACTAAGAGAAATAAGATAAAAACAGGCTGGTCAGTTAGAAGTTGTTTTCCTGATGTACCAACAAATCCTTCTTTCAAAATGACAAGGAAATGATCAAGATTTTCAAATTTAGAAGGCAAATTTAATAAATATTTTTTTATATTTCTTTTAATACCCATGTTGACCCTCGTCAAAACAAAGTGAACAAATAGTTTTTTACAATCAAAAACGTTAATTTCCTGCTCCGGAAGCATAATAAAAGTTAAAAATTTTTTCCAAACTCGGAGCTAAAAGTTAGAACTTATGAAATATTTCGTCCGTATTTCGACCGGACTTCATCAGTCAATGATATGAATGTTAAAAAGATGAATTTTAAAAAAGGTTTTTTAACGCCTCTTGGGGGTTAGAATTGTGTCATAGATAGCTGCTAATTCGTAACCATTGTCTCTGTTTAACGCCGGTTTCGTAAGTTAACCGAAGTTAACACCTTCAAACGCAGGATAAAAGAAGCTATTCAAATTAAACTTACGAAACCGGCGTTAAACAGAGACAATGGTTACGAATTAGACTAAAACGTTATGTGTAGGCTGTCGTATAAAACTTACATCAACAGAAAGCTATGATGTCGTGGTATATTCACTCTGGTTTTGCTTTACGCAAACTGACTATAATCTTCGTGATATTAACAAGTTTTATTTCATTTAACTGTTAACTTTCCATAACTGAGAGGCGTCACATAACTTCTGAGTCCCTTTCCCTTTCGCAATATACTATTACATCTTAGCTTTAATTTAATGTGAGTTTCACGCGACAGGCTTCACATAACGAAAAAGTCAAATCGCCACCGGTGGTGATTTGACTCTCAGTGGCGGCGAGTTTTGTGGTGGCGAATTGACTGGATACCGTTTTGAAAAGTGGCAATCAGGGGAAACATAGACTGATTTTGAGACCTGTCGGCCGTCTGGATCGAAAACCTTAGTAAAAATTAATGCGACTGCAGAAGAGTGCTATACCCCTAGCGCTGATTTTAGGTACGGTAAAAGGCGACGGAAGGAAATCACACGCAAATTAGCACTTTATAGTGAAGTGGAAATAGATTGAATTAACAACAGCCTGTTTAAGAGACTTTAATTTCTTTCATTTTATTATCTCTCAGGTAAGCCTCCCCTGAGAAGTCGTGTAACATCACCTGATCTGTTCAGGACTCATGGGCATGGCTATGAGAACATACCCAACAAAAGTACGTTGATCATGTTTTGTGACCGTCTGAGGTGTAGGTAATCCTTAAATGGAATGTTGGCAGTTATTAACAGTACTTACGCCCACACAGATTTCCACTCAATTTGTCATAATTTTGGACGAAAACAGTAGGATTACTCTCACCTGGATTATCACAAAAATAACATTAACATTGTGAAGAACAGCTCCCCTCCACTGACCATCGGCCCAAGTGTTGGCCTACAGATAACCAACAGGCCACGACATGTAACTGACAGGCCACCGACATATAACTGACAGGCTACCGACTTATAACCAACAAGCCACCGACATGTAACCGACAAGCCACCGACGGATAACTGACAGGCCACCGACATATGATCGACAGGCCACTGACAGATAACCGACTGGCTAGAAGCCATTACTAGAAGTTTTATGGTATTTTATGGCGATTTACCCGAGAATGAACGTCCAAAACAAAACTTTGACTGTACTTTTTAACAAGTTTTTTTCAGGGAGTTGTTTTTCACAATTACCTACTCTTGCTATTACCTACTCTTGCTACTACCTACCTACTTGTGGCAGATCAAAATGAACTTGTAATCAACTAGCTTGAATTGTATTTCTCTGTCTAGGTAATCCTTCTGACAGATAGGAGATGAAAAATCAGACTAGTTTGATATTTTTTCCCCGAAATTCCGTTCTTGATGTAAATTTTCATCTTATTCTTTAAGAAACGTATTTTTGACACCTTTGAAATTGCAGGTAGAAGTTCAACAATCCCTGGTTATGAGTCAATGGATCCAAAAGGTCTGTGCTCAACAGTGATTTGCAATAATCCATTATCGTTAGGAATTACCGAATGAAACAATTTTCAAGTGAGTGCCAAACTTAACCCTTTAACTCCCATGAGTGACCAAGACAGAATTTCTCCTTACAATATCCATACAATATCAACCAGATAAGTGAAGAGAATAAGGACAACTATCACTTTGGGGATAATTAGTTGATCCAATACTAAATTCTCTGAACTAACATTATAAGAGTTGTATGGTTGACAGTAAGGAGAATTACAAATTTGAACTGGGAGTTAAAGGGTTAATCCGGAATTACAACGGTTATGATTTACTTTGCTCTGTGATTGGTCTGCAAAACTCACGTCTCCCTTTTGACCAATCAGATGTAAACTTAAACCAATCTCTAATTATTCACTCAATTTATTTCCGAGGTTCAGGTCATCTCTATGGATTTATATTGTGTTCTCTGAAATGTTTCTTTGTCCCATCAGGTGCTCCTGTTATACCTCCTAGGCAACCGGTTGTAAAACACCCTGGATATGAGAATATTCCCGAGAAAGAGCCGGAACCCTTGCCTCCAAGACAGTCTACATCCCAGGGGTACGAGAATCTTCCCCCAAAGGATGAGGAAGATCCTCCAGCACTCCCACCGAGAATTCCGTCACGTGCCCATGGATATGAAAATGTACCAACGAGAGACGAAAGAAGCCCGCCATCGAAAGCTCTTCCATACCAAAACATTCGACCAGGTATGTTCTGATTTTTTTTTTCCAACACAAGCCGCGGTTACCTCATACATGCGAAAAAAAGAGTCGAATTCTATAAGCGTACGCCAAGTAGAGTGACAGGGGCTTCGCTTTTGGGAGGTTAAAAATGCTAAGTTTTTTATTTTTTATTTGGCGAAACCCACATACGTTAGTGTATGGAGCCTCAGAGTGTTTGCTTCGTTTATCAGCCACTAGAGTGTCTGCTTACGAGACAGAGTCCATTACAATATGAGCGCTACCAGTCTGTTTCCTTGTTGTTCACATAAAACAAAAGACAACAACAACAGCAAATTACACGTAACATTAAGCTAGCTAGGAAACTATCTCCTCAAAATGTGTCTTGCATATTTTACCTTGGCTTCTATATAACTTACTTTAAGACTGAATCTTTCTATGCTATGAAAAGAGTAGTTAATTGTCGTGGGGAAGGGCATTTTTGGCTAACATGAGTAATGAAACTTTCTTCGATCGAATCGAGACTTTAACTAGGTACAATTTTCGTTTCGCTAGAACTACAGACCATTTCTGACAGAACTGATATTACACTGGGCTACTTGCCTAACAAAAAGACATGGCGGTTATGTTACACTACAATAAGTAAAGCTAATATCGTTACAACTTTCCTGCTTTACATAAAGCTCCTTAGCTTTACAATGGTAGACCTACGGACATAAGGAAGTTTTTATTACAATGTTAACAGGTTTTACTGTCTTTCTTTCTTTGCTTTTGTTTAATTTATTCAGTGCCATCACGTCGGCAGACCAGACAGGCCCCGCCATTAAATCGAGCAAATACAGTGCCAGCTCATATCATGCAGAATACACTTGGAAAGGGCTCCATCTGAGGGAGACCCCGTGGGTAGACCAAGGATGGGAGGGAGAGAAGGCGAGTCTACGGTACACTCAGCGGTGAACTGAAAAAAAAATACTTATAGAACTAAGTTTGGCCTGCTAGAAAATTCATTGGTAGACAGCGTATCGCAACTTAAGAATTTTCAGAGCTCGTATGTATCACAAAATATAGAAAAGTCACTATACTATTTACAAAGCCCTTAAGATGGTGACTTAATATTAGTTTTTCGCTCATTGCCGACCAAGATGTAATTGAAAATGTTTATCGGCGACCTAGACCAAAGAATTCACATTAATGTTATTTCACTTAAGTCAGATTTCTTGCCTGTGGTAAAAACTGCGCTGACTTCTGTCCAAAATTAGAAGGCACCCAGTTGCTTTCAAAGTTAACCTGTATTAAATGTTTACTTGTTGTTTAATGGAGAACTAAGAAAGTTGACCTTTCCTTTTAAAAGATAGTCAAACTGAATTTCTTTACTGTTGAATATTACAGGAAAAGACTTGAAGAAGTTGCTCTCGTAAGCAAACTTTACTGTTATTAATCCTGGAAGGGGGTGGGGTTGTCGATGTTTGTTCCACTGGAGGGTAAACTTTTTGCATTGTTATTTTGTAACATTACAATAAATCGAATACCGAGTTACAGCAGTTGTAGTTTTAAACGTATTTCATGTGAAGTTGTTTTATTAACTAGTTCGATTTGTAATCTTCTTTCTTCCATATGCATAAACGAAGTCTTGTGAGAAACTAAGAGGGGAAAAATAGCTTAAAATCATTGAAGCCTAAAGTTCATTTTAAAACACAACACCATCTAAAAATGCCATAGTTATTTTGTAACTAGCTATTTTTAGGTAACATTTCGGAGCCTCTTTGGAATTTTCTGCAACGGTCACCGTCACGCAATAAACTAATGATCGAATCTGTCGATCCAACCCTATCTTAAGTTGACGGATTTCTACGGATTTGAAGCTAATTAACGTGCAAGTGCAATAAGAAAATATGGGGTGATGGGAAGGGTTCTCTTCTTACCCATCACACTTTGCGCCGTGTTGGCTGCTCGCGTTATTATGGCGACTGTGGGCGAGTAACAGAGAGAGAGGCCAGTTTCAGGTGATAATGACGATCAAATTTACCAGTGTATAAACGCCAGAGTTAGATTTCCTAAGGGAGACTGGAACTTAGCGTAAACAACGTTATTTTGCTTGCAGTTAATTCCACTGATGTACTTACGGTGACCTTTACTTCGTAGAAAGGGCCGGGCTTCATAAGGCGTAGGCTCCAGTCCCCGAAAAGCAGTAACAGTTTTTGGCATTTTCTTTACTCCCATACACAGACTTCACTTTGCCATGTTATACGATTAGACAAACATATGCCGTTGTGCCAGATAAATGTAACCTGAGACCGGTTGATCCGGGTTAAAGTAAATAGAATGTATATTTCAAGATAACGAATAGAAATCTCCAGAAACATTAAAAATAGACTTTTTTTTTCATGGTTTTTGGAAGATGTGTTGCGTTTTCTGATGTACTTTGGGTTGGTGAAGGGGTTTCAGGAAAATGGTGCATGACCTATTTATCTGGTCCTAGTTGTACAAAGGGTGGATAAAGCTATCCACGGGATGAAACTCCATACAGTGGATAGCGTAGTGCGTTCTGTCAACTCTTACCCCGTTGGGTACCGATCTATCCGTTAGATAGCGTTATCCGCTCTTTGAGCAAGTAGGCCCAGTACTTCATTGAATGCAGCCGTATTTAATCTAGAACCATTCTACGATGAAGCGTTCTCCGGTGGTGGTGGTGCTCACTGTGTTCCTCCCTGAAAAGAACGACTGATCGCAAAGAAATTCGCCGCGTGTGAATACAAAAAGAATGCATAGGGGGCAAAAGAGAAAAGTTGTTACTTGAAATTTATAAACGAAAGAGATTTTCTACATTGGGTTTGGCTTTCGTTTGATAGCGAAAACTATTGAGACACTGATGTGTATATGTGTGTATGATGTGTGAGACCTATATTTAAGTTAGTCTTAAAGAGTGCATCAAGGTTACTTCCCACCTTCAGAGGCCGAAAAAAAATTCGATATTTCTTTTATTTGACTAAATTGAATTCAAACATTCAACCAAACGTTTCCATAAAAAGATTTTCTGAGATCTTTAAAGGCACCCGATTTATTGAGAAAAACGTATTTTCGAATAAAAGTTTATAAATCAGGAAGGTGTCATAATCTCGGACCTGACCGAATTCCCTAGG